ATCCAGAGTGGGGAAAAGTAAAAAGATGAGGAAAAAACTTGCACTGTATCCTATCTATTTATTTGTACACCTAACCTCATCAATATGACGTTCTAAGTTACAAAGTTCACAGTTGATTTGGGATGATAATTGACCTGTCATTGTAAAAATGCTAAAAGTAATTACTATAAAGACCTATCATATTTCAAAAAGTAACCATTGGAAATCATAATGGTTTAAGCAACTCTATTGCTTGTTACATTATAATACAGTGTAAATTAGGGATGGTCAAAACCAGAAATTTCAAATCTCGAAACCAAAACCGAAACTTAAAAAAACTAATCCCGAATCTCAAAACCTAAACGAGAAACTTTTAGCTACCCGAAAAATACAGGTAATGATAACATTTTCATTATGATTATGTGATCAAAACTGAAAGAGATTGACTCCTGATCCAGAAATAATAACATAAATGCGGCAGATAAACTTCAAACCCAAAACAACATAATTTTTTTATAAACAACTAACATTAAAATAAATGAAACTCCTGATATTAAATTAATGATAAATGATATGACATTATAATGATATTATAATAATTAGAACATTTAGTGGTCAATAAAAATTTCTTTGTGTCTAATAAATATTCATATGAAACTGAATTGTAAGTTGTCCAGTATTTAAGATGCCTTTTGCTGTTAAGAATACAATTTACTTGTTTCATTAGTGTTAATGGTGATCTGTTTGCTCCATTTCTACCAGCTTAACACACACAAAACAGTGTTATAAACAATACTAATGATACAAAAAATCTCAGCAGTTTCAAAAATAAAAGTGCCAAAATGTAAATGATGTACACATCACTAGTGTAAATTTTTTCACAGCTTTATTTTCTTGAGAAATTAGTTTTAGAGACTGATGTTTTCACCTTCATTTCTTTATTGGCCGACAATATTTACTATAATAAAAAAAAAAAAAATATGAGTCTAAACCCTGATTCTGTTCAGTTATAATGACTGTACGTTTGCAGAAACATGAAAAGATAAATAAATTAAAACAGAATTAAATCTAAAAGAATTTTTCAAACCTGCACTAGGTGTCTTAGCATTATCTCTTACAGAATAATTCAAGTTTAAAATTTTGGGAGTGAAACCTTTGACTATTAATACAACAACTTCTGTATCCAATAGTCAATGGGTGAAACGCAACTTCAGAGTGTAGATTGTAGTTTTTAGTGGCCTCAGTAATCCTAGAGGTAAAGTTAGCATTTTGGTAAGTAAGTATGTAATATTTAGTGTAAGACTATTTTATTAAATTTTTCTGGAAAACGGGTGGAAAACTTAACAAACAAATTACAATATAGTGTGTATATAAACAGTCGCATGTTTTACAAAAACCATTGATCATATTTTTTTCAAATTAACCAGTAACAGCTACGGTAAAAGAGAAAGAAAAAGCTAGCATTATTTTACTTAGGTATTCTTTGCTCCATGGCTGCTGGGCTGATGAATTGTGTCAGAATTTATTTACAATTTAAGAATAAATGTTTCTTATATTATTTTAATTTTACTCTTAATGTTCTTACATCTACATGTTTGATTGCCTTGTGTGTGTTTTTACTTCAACTTTAGACAATTATTTGACTTAAATACTTTCTTGGACTTTTTATTTGCAATCTTACTGAGATTTCCACTAAAATTTATTTTAGAAAAAATAAAGAAACAAAATTTACTCAGTTTGTCCCTATACAAATCCACCACAAATAAATTACACATTAAAATTTTTTTCAACTAAGCATGATATGTGTTTTTTTTTTCAAATTTGTTAACACTTTTATACTTTTAATTCAACTTGTCAGTTTGTTGTTCTTATTTGAATTTTTGTTCATGTTTCATTTGGCTTTATGTTATGTGATTAAATCTTTTTGTCTTTCCATTATTTAAATAGTAGTTATAATTTATACTATTTATTACTTAGGCTTATATATTAGTAACCATTATTTATTATAGTTTGTTTTTTAAATAATTTTATAAGTAGCCTAAATACACTATTGTGTCTAATAAAGTCAGTGGTCCATATTTTTTTCAACACAATCAAAATCATGCTTTAATATAAAGATTCACCTGTACTTGTCAAGATAATCTCATATATTACTTTATTCATAATTTGCCTCCAGTATTGATTTATTGATATAAAATGAGGTTTGCGACTTTAGTTTTACTCACATCACAACACTTTGCACCA